TGTAATCTGGGTGAGGGCGAGGTCGTATTGCTCTTCGTCGAGGTCAAGCTGGGATGACTTCTCAGCATCGGGATCGTACGCGTCCTGTCCATCCACCATACTCTCATCGTCAGGCCACTCCCGAGACGGCAACGGAGCATCGGCTCCTTTGGGGTGAGAGGAGTGCATACCCTGCTGCTGATCGGCATCTAAAAGCTCTTCATCATCGTACATGGCGCGCTGGTCAAAAGCGCCAGGGATGGCACGGCGGCCGGTGCTGTGTCTGTATTCGAAGGTGTCATCGGGATCGACTTCGGGCGAGGTGAATTCGTTCTTAACAACAGCCTCGGTGGGAGGGCGGGGAGTAGGCTCAATCTCAGTGATCTCTTCATCCTCGGAATCCTCCTCATCGTAAAAGAGACCGTAGGTGGTGAAGTGCTCAACGGAGAAGGTCCAAACACCAGTGGGAATGTCGTAGCTCTCGAAGGTGGTATCTGTGATCGTCTTCAGCTGTTCGATGTGTCTCTCAAGGCGACGGCCGCCGACGCGAAGCCCGCCACGAGGGTAGCTATGCTCGAGCGAGATCAACGAGGGAACGTTCAGGTCTTTGCCGACAGGGGGCTTAAGGGCGGCGTTGGGATAGACGGTGCAGGAGCGGGGCACCAAGCGGACAATATTGTCATAGATGTTTTCGACGTCGATGTTGCTAAGATCAACAGGGACCTTGAACCGGATACTTCCAACGTTCTCACGACCAACCGTAAAGTCAACAACGCTCTGGCGCTGCACCCTGTTCATGGCCTGGATCTCCTCCAGCTTGGGCGACATCCAGTAAGAACCGGCATCGATCTGCTTGACGGGCTTGGCATCGGTGACAGTAGAAGTGGACAAGAAAGAAGACTCCTCGGGAACAATGGCGAGCTCATTGCCCTTGACCTGCTCCATCTCGGGGGAGGCATCAGAGGCCTTGGAGCCGTTGGCGGCACCGTTAGTGCGGCCATTAGCGGAAGAAGGCTTCAGGAAGCCCAAGTCACTGTCGTCGTCAAGATCATGGAACTCCTGCTGCGAAGAAGCACCGTTCTGGGTAGCCTCGACGTTGCTAGTATCAAAGCTGACTCTCTTGGTCAACTTGCGGGCACTGGTGTTGCCGTCCTGGAGAAGCTTGTCCTTGGTCGCCGGAGACTGGAACAAGTCGCTGCGCATATCCTTGTTGATGACAAGCTTCTTGTGGCTAGAGCCAAGCAGACGGTTGTTGTTGGTCGCAGAGAAAGCACCGGGGGTGAGGATGCTGTCTTCGGCGTTGAAGGTGCGGCGGAGGTTAGTGGTGGAGACGGGCTTGCCGAGACCACGGTTGATGCTGCCAGCCAAAAGGCTCTGTCCCAAACCGCCAGGGGTGCTAACCGGGGAGTTATAGGTGCTGTAGTTGAATCCGAAACCTCTCTTCTGGGGCGTAACCATCCGAGAGGCATTAGCCGGGCTCAGCTTGTACATGGGCAAGATCGAGCGGCTCTTGGCCTTCGCAGAGCCGTTAAGGGGGGTGGCAAGAGGACCAGGGTTCTGGATCTGGTTGTCAGGCAGGTTAGAGAACAACG